AGGCTGTAAAGCCATGCCACATCCTTATCATCACCGTCATGTATCCGATCCTCATCCTCCTCCTCCTCATCATCATCATCCACAACACCAGCACCTGCAGCTTTCAACTTGTCGAACATATCGTTCATCCAGTGATCATCCAATCCGTCCGATCTTCGGCCTGCTGCCAACCTAGCAGCTTCCTTTGACGTCGAGAGGCTAGGCGAAGATTCCCTTTTGAAAGCTGCACCGCGCGCAGCGTCCTCTTTGCTCGGCACCAGCGTCAGACCTTCTTCGTTTGCCAGATGCAGTAGACAGATGAAACAGAATGAGGTGCTAATCTCATCCAGCCGGTCTTTAGTGTACGACTTTTTGAGACCGTCCATGACGGCTGCAAACGTTCTCGGTTCTTGCTTCATCATGGGCTTACGATCCGCCTTGCCTGGCGTCGAGGGACCGTCCTGTAGACGAAGAAGCCGTCAAAGTCGGTGACCATTCGTCAATCAAGCTCACATTCTCCTCAAGCGGACTCACCTCGTCAACCGTGGATGATCCTGCATCCAGATCCTCCACAAGCTCGAGGGCAAGCTCTTTCCAAATGTTGTCTTTGAGCTTCTTGACATCGACGCGTTTTGCCTTTTTCGCATAGTTGACCATCTCTGGTCTGATCTTCTTGAGTGCTTGCGTCGGCAAGAGCATGCCCTCCTCTTCCGCCTCCGCCAGGTCTATTTGAACATCGCCTCCGTCCATCGCGTCGAAAGCGCCATCATCATCGTAGAACTGGCCGGGCGCATCTCCTGTGATGACCAAATCCGCAAGTGACCATGTGAGGACGTAGCTGAGGTGGTGAACAAAGGGCGCAGACTCACCATCAAACTCGCCACCGGAAGCGAGATTCTGCTCACGCTCTGCAGCCGCTGCGGCCCAGAACTGCTCGTCAACATCGGCTGGATGCAGCAGATCGCTTTCGTTCACTTGAGCGACTCGCGCTCCTCGTCTTCGGAGGTTGAGCTATATCGCGAAGGACGAAGGAGAAGGAGGTCAGCAAGGAGCCTGAGTTCAGACATCGACTCCGAATCTCACTATTGCCCTAGGTTTGATGGCCAGTCTCAGCAGCTCTCGGCTGCTGAAATGCCTGTCTTCGGGGAGCAGATGAAGCTCGTCTTGCTGTGTGCGCGGCAGCATGATTCCTGCGCCTCCCTTGGCCGCTTCGAAAATGTCAGAGCTCGAGACAGCTCCCTCGGGAGAGATAAAGTCAACGATGAAAGGCTCTTTGACTTTCTTGACTGTCTTGGCTGCT